AATTTTATGGGAAGTTTGGTCTATGTAACTATCACTAACCTTGATATTTCCTTTCACTACTACACATAAGGGATACAAAAATGGTTAAAAAAAGAATATAATAACGGTTTTGACATGTCGTTGTATCTGCAGAGTGAACCTAAAAGTTTTTACTATTTTCTCATTGTTGCTTTCTAGCACAACGTCAATGCCGACAAAAGATTTAGCAGTCACATGAAGTATGTCTCCAGTAGAACAATCTTCAACTCGTAAAAAAATATATTTCCTAATGTAATCTAAATCATTTTCTTCCCTAGTAGAGAAACTTGGAAATATCACGGTAAAAATATATTTTACGAAGGAAAGAAAAAGGAAAAGGAGGATGAGGAGAATTACCTTTTTGTTATCATATTCTTTTGCGATCAGGTTGAACATATTAGAGATATTTATAGTCAAGAGAGACACTTCGCAAATGAAAGAAAAAGGGAGAGGAGGAGAAAAGTCGAATCATAATGAAGAAAAGATGAAAAGGAAAAATGCAATGGAGGAGGAGAGGAAAAAGGAAAAGAGAGAAGAAATGAACATTGGGAGCATGAAGGCGAAATGACCTAATTATAACTAGACATCCGACGACAATTATATAATAATTATTATCATATGTCATATATAACAATAATTAAATAAGAACCGTCATTAAAAACTGAACATACAATGATGATTAAACATGTAACTACCGTTGGATATCATATATTACGATGTATAAAAGAATATCTTTAAAAAGTTTATATTTAAATATATAAAATATTTTATTTTATAACCATAGTAGAATATGACATACAATAACAAATATATAGAAACTATTAATAAAAAGTTAAAATTAATTTCAAAATTGTCACAACATCTCTTAGGGTGTTTAAAGATATCATCTTTTGTCTAGTTTTGTATTAGTATTTGTTGCACACACTGCGAATAAGTTCATACAATATTCCCAAGACACTTCTAACAAAACAAATAATTAAATATTTTCTTGACATTTCAAAGTGTAATTTATTTTTTCCTATACTTATCTCTCTAACTTCAAGCATATTATGATACAAAATGGACATGTTGTCCAAATATAAGAAAATGTACAATTAATTGGTATATTTTTTAAGGAAATACTCTTATTCATTGGATACGTGAGAAACAAAATTTAATTTCAAGTTATCCACTCAATTAGAGTAACATGTAATGTCTACGGCTTTTTTTAAATTACATGATTATAAAGTCTTTTAACATACTTGACTTTTGTCAAACATAACTTATTTTATTTTATTACATGTTGATAATATTAGTGTTATACAAATCACAAAGTTCTATTTTTTCATAAAAAGAATAAATATATTAAAATTAATTATCACTAATTTCGAGAATCTATTCGATCCCAAGATAAACATGTTCTCACATGTCTCAAATCTATTTAAATATAACAAAATTATTTATTTACCAAATTAAAGCTTGTAGTAACATCGAATGAATTTCAACAACATCTACTTTAAATTATATGTGATTTTATATATTATATTCTTATAATTATTGATTTTATAAAAAAATTGATTATATATTAAATTAAAAATTAGAATAATAGTTTATAATTAAATAATATTCGTAGGAGAATTTTTATATTAAAAAATACACCATTATTAATGAACAAAGTATCATATATATGTTATTTCTTAATTTATAAAACGGAAAACATACTTATATAATCGAAATTAATCAATTCCATAACACTACCTTGTCAAAGTTGGTTAAACTTGCTTTATGAATTAAAGTATTACAAGATTTTTGTAACCAATATTACTAGGGGTGAAAAATCGTAATCAATTTCATAAAACCAAATAAGTTAAGTCTTTTTGTAATCGATTATAATTACAAAATGAATTAAAGTATTATATAAGCTCGATGAAGATGATATTTGTATGATTTAATCAAAAGATAGTAATTGTCAAGAAAAAGGTTAATTGTTGTTTCTTCACATTTAACTTTTTCTTGTTTTACTTTCAAACTTGTACTAAGAATTATGAGTTAATTATTGGGTGGTCCAACTAAGGGGGTTGTACTCTTTATAGTGTTTCTCAAGGATGTCATTAGACAGGGTGTCTACGTGGTTTCATGCACATAGGATCTCTCATAGGTTATTAGAGAGTCTTATTGATTTAGTATGAAAAAGGTTATAGGTGTTAATATAACCTTATTTATAGTCAAATCCTATCATATAAATCTTTTGTGTGAAATTTCTCTCTACATTTTTTTTAATTCTTATTATTTTCTATCATAATTGTGTATTGTTTTAAAGTTGATGTATTTAAACTTATAAGTCAATTATTTTGTAAAAAAAGATTTTCTCAAATTTTTAATTATAAAAAAGTATGAAAATGAAAATTTTAATCACTATCAAATTAACTTCTTTATATGCACATATTCTAAAAGTAAAAAATTAATTAGAATTTTTGTTTAATGAGGACTAGTCTCACGAAATGAATAAGATAGAAATAATTAAAAATTAAACCTAGAAAATTGTTAAATGGGTTTGCAGTCACTAATTATGTGATTATAGAGAATCCCTGATCAAAATCCAGAGGTCTAGCTTCCTTGGAAAACTAGCACATACAAATCCCAACAACGGGATTTGAAAATTTGAGATGATTCTTCATAACCTAAGTTTTGCAAGATATTTGTAAGGACTGCAACTATTTTTGAGTAAATATCCTATTTACTAAAAAGTGTGAAGAGTTTAATATTCTCATTCTTTCACAAATCATGATGCATAAGTGGGTTGATTTTTATCATAAACCATACACACAATCTTGTCTGATTAATTTCTAATATAAAGTTTTTATGCTATGAGTGGGTAGAGATTATAATCACGTAATTTGAATCTTGATATTGCGTTTCAGTGCAGAATAATCCATGCTATCATGAAGTTGATCTAAATACTTGATCTGCATGATAATCAGTGTGGTCTAAAGGCAGGGAGGGGTTTCTTCTACTATTTCTTGCATTGGAAGGTTAGGTTGATTTAAACATTTCTTTCTAGTGTGCTTCATTTGGATGGTTTCTGCTATAGTTATCCTATTTGATAATCAATCTAATGTTGATCAGAGGAAACAAGTGTTTCTTTTAGTAAAACACTTCATATTCTACAACACTGGCCATTCTTGTAGTTTGAGGAAATAGTAAAGGGAAATGCTTGTTGTGCAAAAAGGAGGGAAGTTCTGAGGAGACACTGGTTTTGAAAGGGAGCAATGGTGTTATTTTTCCTGGTGAATTGTTACTCATTTTTAGGCCCTTCTTTCTGTGGTAAAACAACCCTGTTAACTTCATTAGGAGGTGTCAGCTAAATGATGGCATCAGTAGAGGAACCACCATAACCTACAATTGCAAGCCCCTCTAGTAAAGGAAAGCTTGGGGATTTGTTGCTCAACATGATGTCTTCTATCCTAACCTAATAATAAGGATGGAAACGAGTTCGCAGAACTTTTAACTAATCCAAGTTTCTTGACTCAACCACTGCTAGAAGAATTGTGCTAACTCTGTGCAACTTAGCTGAGGATGGTAGGACTGTTAGAATGACTATACACCAGCCTTCCAGCAAACTTTCTCACGTGTTCCAGAAGATTTTGCTATTATCAGATGGTTGAAGCCTATAAAGGAGAAAATGCTATGAGTTACTCTCCATCTTTACCCATGAATCGGACAGATTTCTTACTTGATTTGCAAATGGTACGTAAACATTAACCTTGCAAACATGCCTACGAAATAGCGTCCTACTTGGTTGGATTAATTAACTCACCTCTTTACATTCAATTTGGTTCAAATATTTAGTGCCACTGCAACATCATATTTATGTACATCCATATCAGTGTAAGCATTTAAGGACAAATTTTCGAATAAACAATACTATGAACTTTAAGTATGACCCATGCTTGAGAACTAAAGCCTTTCAAGTCATGATGGTTCAAAACTTTTCATGTAGTTGATATCTTCGGAAGAAAATAAAGCAAATATAACATGACTTGATTTACTTCGTTGTTGAAATGAATTTTTTATCATTCTAACCAGTTAGAAACTTTGTTCCTTGTTTTATAGTTTTCCACTATCATTAGTCTATTCTTTAGTCAGAAATATCCTCCAACCACATTTTAGGTATTTATTCTGAAAATTTGGAAGTGGATACAAATGTTATCATCTGCTTTAGAGAGTAACCTTGCAAGCCAAGTGAAGATGGAACTTCAAATTTCCAGGGATTCATTTCTTGACAATTCAGAATGAGATATTTGGCCAATGTTGCACAGCCGGGTGGCAGCAGTTTACATTACTGAGAAGGCGTTTCAAAGAAAGAAAGTATGAGCAATTTTCAGTCCACAAAATTTGTCACGTTTTGCCCTTTTCATTCTTTGCAGGATTTCTCTGGTGACAATCTGGAGTTGATCAAATGCTGGACCAGGTAATTAGATGGTATATTACCTTTGCATGGTAAAATCCAATAATTTTTTGTATTATAGTTTCTTTTACTATGTGAGTAACACTACTTTTCTACCACACACAATTCTGTGTATTCTTTCCTACGTCCAGTCCATCTTCACGATTCCTCGTGTTCTCAGAAAGATAATAAAAGAAAGGTCCTCTTACATGTATAGATTTTTATCTTACTTTTATGGCAAAGTAATCTTGTTAACCTTTCTTTGATAACAGTTAGATTTTAACTTAAAACTAATTGAGATTAAGTAAAGTGGTCCAATAGATATATAAGTCATATTCAAATAATTGAAACAATGTGAGATCCCTAATATTTTCTTAAAATAGTAAAATTGAGACATGTGACGTGAATCTCTTTTAACATCCCAATTAAAAAAATATCTACTACAATATGACACTAAAGGACTTATCATATCAGATTTTAACTTAATATCAATTGATTGACTGTAGATGTTGGGCAGGCTAACTATAAAATGATTGACACTGAATAGTTCTTTCAACTACATCATAGGTAAATCAATCTCCAAGCTATCATCCGTCCAACTGCACGCTGGTGTGGAGCCCTCTTCATGGCCTAAGTTAAAAGGAGGAAGGTAAGGAACAATGTCCTCACTTCTATCCTTTGCCATCAATTCCTGAGCCTCAAAAAGGCCAGAAAGGCACAAGATGCAGTGACTGCACTCCATATAACCACATGGGGTGAAGTCAAGTAGACAGGTGGTTAGTGCTTCCTTGGGGAACAGACTGTAATTCTAAGAATTCTACCTGTCATGTCATAAGATTTTTGAAATGTAAGTTTGCATGTCAGATGCCTCAACATCATTTGCAACTGTCTGATCTCATGAACAGCATCAAATGTTGTGACTCTCTTAACAACTGTAAAAATCCCACCCATGTGATATACAAATTGTGATGAGTACCAGAAATCTTCGAAAAAACTCTGAAGTTCAGGCCAAGTCCTAGTGGCAACAACGGCACAGATAAAGGATCCCACAACTGAACCAGCAGCAATTATCCTAGGCAAGAGTTTATGTTCTACCAGTGTTTTAACTACACCCACATGAGAAGCTCCAAGAGAAGCACGCACCCCCACTTAACAGCAGAGCTATCCTCCCAAATGCATGCCTAGTTTCATGCATGAAAGCAAGCTTTTCTTCCAATGATAGCTCCTCTGAATCAGAACCACAAACCATTCTCAATTGAGTCGTTACTTCATCAATGTATTCCTTGATTAATTTTGGCACCTGAAGCCTACCCTAATGTGTAGTTCAGGATTACACTTATTACCTAAATTTCTAACAAGATTGACACGCATACAGAATATTATACCTCTAAGAGATCTCTCATGCCGACGGCGGCGGAGCTCTTGAAGCTTGTTCCTCACCAATTCCACGTCATAAAGGTCTGATTCATTTGTTGTCTCTTTATCAAGCATCTTAGTTCCATGAACCCACTCCTCATAGGTCAAAGCAGATCCATCATGCTTCTCCAAAACTTCCCCCTCTTCCCAGATCCCAATGCCACCCTTCTCCCACTTACATCCATTCTTAAATATAAGACCGAAAATTTGGCCCTTATTTAATGTCCAGTTTTAAGCTAAAATCTGACAGAAACTAGCTTTGCCAATGCCAACTCCTTTTGTCACAATTACTTATTGGATGGTAAAGCTAAAAGCCAATGCTTTTAAGTTTCTTTCTAATTCTAGCTTCTGATCTTCTCTATGCTTTGGTATCACAAGGTGTATAGTTCCGGTAAATAATCAAACTGTGGCAGTTAGTTGGAGCTGTTATCATATGTTCTAGTTAATGCCTGCCTACTTTGTACAAAATACGTCAAAGTTTGTGTCTTCATGATCAATAAATTACACATGTCAGCTATTACTCCTGTAAGCTCTTGCTAGGATCACAGTTTAACGATGACACTTACCATTGTGGTCCAAATGGACATGCTCACTTGGAAACTATCCTACAATTAGGCATGTAGATGTCGGCAAGCAAGATTTCTCTGTTGTTGCTTTGGTGGAAATGTTTGTAGGCACCAAATAGAGCCATTCTACTGTAGATGTCAAAAATTCTTTAAAAGGGGAATATTGATTAACTAAAGATTATGCTGTACTTATTCGTAACAACGTTTTACTTTTAGGAATCCAATCATTCGAATAATTGATCTAGGATGGTAGTAGATGGAACTGGAAACTGAAGCTTTCTGAGAAGAATTTTATCAACTATTACAATATCATTTTTATTTCTTAGGCTCAATATTAAAAGGTGTTTAATGTGTAGTGTCACACTTTTGAAAAAATATTAAAACCTGTGATGATGTATGACGAAATAACACCAGCATTACTCTGTCATTGTATATAAAACAACAGTACAAAGGTTCTTCCTTGGGAAGTTTAATAATCTTGAGAATTAAGAACAGATATCTATTATTAAATAGATTTTGAGAAGATAAAATGATAAATAAATGATCTTTTTTTTTTATTCATCATAATAGAGGGAATACATTTATGTATCTTAAAGAAGTCAACAACTGAAAAATAATATGACATCGAATTGAAAGAATTAAGGCAAGGCCTTTTTGCACATTCGTGATCCGATCCTAACAAAAGGATTCAGAAAGTAATTATCATTTGCAAATGGAGTTGGATACTTCCATCTATAAACCAAGAGCATAGTGACACAAATGGAGTTGGGTACAATATCATTTTATACACGAAGACCCCTACCACATCAAGAACAAAACAGTCTCCTAGTATTGCTACATTTGAACATGCAATGTTCAACATTTCTAAGGTATGCCAACCCCCAAATGTCCTCTCAGTCAACTAATCTAACAAACTAAAAGTCTGGTCTACTTAAGCTGTTATTGATCATTCTCTCATCCATGTAAATAAATGGTTAAATAGGTGACAGCACAGGAGCATGCACTATAGTTCTCCGTTGTTACCATTTCTTTTCTTCATTGCGGTCAATCTAAAGGGTGGAAAAATCTGAATTATCAAATGTACATGTGATCTGAATTAGATCAAGTGTGTTACACTTTCCCTAGAACGTATATGGTCCTACTACATTCAAAAGAAAAAGACGAATTTGGTCGCGTATCAACAACCGGAACATCCTAGAACTAACTTTGTCTCCAATGGTTCACATGTCCTAACCTGCCTAACTCAGATTCGATCTTGCTGTTTGGTCTGCACTCTTCATATGAGTTATCGATTGGTCTAAAAAGGGCTTCCATCGAGGTATATATCAAACTTAAAAGCCACTACAGCACAAAGGGGTGTTCACAGTTTGATATGATTAGGTAAATATTCACCAGAATTCAGTATAAAATTAAGAGAAATGTGAACGACATATGCCAATACACTCCTTTAAACATATTTCTCATTATTGATTGAAAAGTAAAAATAATTTAGTTAGTTCTATGATTCTTTTAGTTTTTAATGAATTTTAATCAATAAAAAATGTGTTATAGAACTGTTGCCTGTTATTGTAATGTTGCATTGTACAATATGACTTATTTTGGCATGTAAAGGTTTATCTTTTGCTGATAAAAAAATTCTACATACTATTTTTTTGGACTCTTAACATGTTATATTGGTGCTGTGTCGGTGAGATAGCTAAAATTCAAAAAATTGAACGAAATACACATTGATCATCCATGATTAATCAATGTTAACAGTTCTTCCCCGTTCAAACCAACCAAACATGCGAATATACATACATGGGCATATATAAAATAAAGTGACATTATATTCATACTTCCATTTCTTCAGCTACTTAACATTGTGTTTGAAGCTGGCTTTTATTGTTCTTCCTACATCACCTTCATGATCCTCGTACTTCAAAAGCTGCTAAGTAACCTATTTAGGAAGCACAACATAGAATACAAAGTAATGAGCATGAAATAATAACTTAGTTAACAAAAACAAAGAGAAGACCAATGGTTGGTTGAAGAGACTCACAAAAAGATTATTTATTTGTTTAAAGTATCTCTCAAAGTAACTTTTTTAGCTTGTAGATGTCTTATGATAAACTACCTAAAGACATGAGAGAATTTAACTCAGTAATAATATTTTTGGTCCTTTCTTCTTGCAACATGAAGAAACAACACAACGTATTTTATTTGCATGCACCAAAGTCGTTGATGTTTAGAATCAACACTTGGATTTTTGGTGTGTTATACGGTATGTGTCATATAGAAATTGAAGAAATGCAGAAATTCTTTTAGAGATGGTAATTTTGATATTAATATGGAGGCTCGTATTTTCGTCTTGGTCATGGATAAGATTCAAAATTAATTCCATTATATATTCATACTCTTAGTGAATTTTCAGCAAATCTGCTTGATTGTTTTAAATGCAACATGATTTTTTGCCTTTTTTTTTATATGGTTAAGATTCTTTGGATATGGACTAGATACATCTACTCATTTTTTTAGGTGTTTATTCTTCCATTCTCTTTTAGTTTTTATATTTTCTAATTTTTAATTGATCATTTCTTTAATTTGTAATTATACAAATATAAACTATAGAGGATTTAATTATATTTTGAAGATTTGATTTTAAATCGTAAAAAGCTATTTAAAATGACAACTATTTCTAGAGAGTGAATGTATAAAATTAGCCACTTACATACTAAATTATGATATAAATTTAAAGTAATTAAGATTTGATCATTAATTTTAGAGATTGATTTCATAAATAGTTCATTAATTTATGTAGTTATCATAGATTATAATTTGAAGACTTATTTGATTTAGCTTTATTTTTTATTCATCAAGTTAAAAAAAAAACTTTTTGATAATTTTAATTTAAAAACTGTTAGATTAAAAAAGATCATAGTGATGACAAGAAATTTTGGTAAAAATTGAAAAACAATTTACAACGATATGTGGTGCAACTATTAATGAAATATCATTAAAGAAAATAAAAATAACTCTAATCAATTTTGATTTTTTTTTGTTTTTAAACATTAAAAAATAAAACTAATTTTTATAAATTATTTTAACAAAACAATCAAACAAGTTTTTTAACTTTTAAAAACTAAAAAAAATAAAAACAATTTTTAAAAAAGAAATAAAAAATAATTCCTAAATATTTTGTCTGTTATTTTATATAATGATGTATTATTATTATTATATATTAATTCACTCTTAACCACTAATAAGTTTTAGAATTTGGACTTAATCTAATACAATTCTATAAAACATAATTGAAAGATAAGAGATATCTGATTAGTTATATAATATGTATTTTAGGGTTAAGTCTAACTAAGGAGGAAACTCATATCAAGGTAATTTATTCTAAGTTTACAACCTCGGTTTGAGAATACAATACTACAATTATTTTGATTATCTTCGGAGAACTATGTTGAAAGTCCTACATCGCCTACCTCATGTCATTTGGTATGGTTTAAATACATATTAGGTCACTTCACATATAGTCAATTGGTTTTATGTTGGAACCTTAACATGGTATTAGAGCCAAAGCCTAACATATTTCTGGTTATTGTCATGGGCCAAAAATTGTTCTTTAGTTGGGTCAAAAGTACCATTTGCCTGGTCTGGCAGACTGCGTTGGAGATAGTGTGTTGAAAGTTCTACATCACATATCTCATGTCATTTGGTATGGTTTAAATACATATGGCTACTCCACGTATAGCCAATTAGTTTTATGTTGGAACCTTAAGAAACTATGTAAAAGGTGTGACCTTTATTGCTTTAGAAAGCAAAAATCATAACATTCCCACAAGTGCTTTAAAATTAAATGGTATATAGTTTATGGTGTAATTTAAAAATGGTTACTAAAATTTATTGCTATTTTTTCATGAACCCTGTTGTTGAAATCCATCCATTTTGTCTTGACATGACTATTAGAAGGAGAAATGAGGAACAGAAAAGGAATTATAGTTTTATTTTCCATTCCCTTTGTTGGTAAAATTGTTAATGGCGAGTTAGGTTTTGGTGAAGGAATTATGAGAAGACAAAGATGGAGTTTTATGTGGCTGGTTTTGATGAAAGCATGCACATGGAGTGAATCTTTCACAATCATAACAACTGGATGAGATTCCAACACCATCATCTTCGCCATCCAAGAGAGTGTTGAATCAATAAATCCTCATTTTATTTCCACTTTTTGTTTAACTCATTCCCACTTTATTCTAACAAATTTTGGAATCACAAAAATGGATAATTGGTTTTAGGTCATGGCGTGCCCTTCAACATACTTTAATCATACCTGACTTGTATCAAACAAGAAAGTTACCTTTATCAGAATTATTATCATTTAATGTTCTTCCAAATTATTTTCCATTCATTCCCTTAACCTATATATAAACCATGTACAAAAAACCATTACTAATTTAATGTTCTTCAAAAGTTCTTTCATTTTAATTTTTCTGTTATTACTTTCATTAATAAATTGATTAAGATGACACCAAATCATGCATAAAAAAATTGTATATTCGAAGATTATAACTTTTCCTTCAAATTTTCAAAAAAGATATTTATATAACACTTCAGAATTACACGTATTCATTATATATGATTAGAGTTTAAAAGTGAGTTAAATATATATATATATATATATATATATATATATATATATATATATATATATGATTTGGCTTTAACAGTGAGTTAAAATCTCATTTTAAATAAAAATAGAAATTTGAATATCACTTAATGAAAATAGTCTTAATATTTTAGATGAAAAATAATATTATATTTTCTTATATAATCAAATAAAATATAATTAAATTCACTGAAAGATTTAATTACAATAAATAAATATCTTTATATGAATTATATTTTAGATTTACAGATAATGATTTAACACTTTTATATAAGGTTATTTTTAGTTATTCATAATTTTTTAAAATATATCACAAATTAATTTTAAGATATGAAGAAAAATAGTAGATAGAAAAAAAATGGTTAAAATATCAAATGTACATAAAAAAAGAAAAATTAGTTTGATTTAAGAAAAAGAAAACTTTTTAACTAGTTAGAAGGTAGGTTATGAAATGTACAGAAAGAAGAAAAAAAGATAGTTAAATCTTATTTTTAAATATTAATTTACATTATATAAATGTATATATTTGTTATATATGCAATTAAGGGACTTGAATGAGCTTAACTTGATTATAATAAATTGTATATACAATAAAATACTTTAAAACAATATCAATAATAGTTTATCAATTGAAAAGTTATATTTTAATTTTCTATAAATAAATAAAAAATAATAATATTTCAGTTTCTTACCTTAATTTATAAAATATGAATACATATATTTGTTATAAATAAAAAATATTTAAAATAAAAATTAAATAAAGCAATTAAGAGAGTTAAATGAACTAATATATTTATAGTAAATTATATATTATGAAATTAAAATATATATATATATATATATATATATATATATTAAAAGTGATAAAATTATATGTTTTATTAACTATATGTAGATTCCCTTACCAATACCAAACGTATTTTATGTTCATGTTTAATCCAATCTAGACCGAAAATATAATTGATTAATTATGAAATTGTTAGTGTTAGACGCTGGTGAAGTGAATGTGGGGGGTGTGTGACAGTGAGATGGTTGCTTGTTTGCATAAGAAAAGCGTGACATGAAAAGCGTTGCATTCCTAAACTCCCCAACCCTTCATTTCCTCCTCCTCCTCCTCCTCCTCCTCCTCATTTCGTGGTCCCCACTCCATCTCTTCTCTCTCGCGCAGTAACCATCTTCATCCCCTTTTTCTTAAGTCACCATGCATGCCAAAACTTCTCACACTCTCTCCTTCTCAATCCAAAGCCAAACCACTTTTCCCATATTTCACCAAAACAAAAACCACACCAACATAAAGTAAGAACGTCAAAAATACTTTCTTCCTCCATGAATGCATCAGAGATGCAAAATTCATCGTAGCAATATCATGGACAGCACGGATTCATCATCAGCCTCTCACCACCCTCATCTCCCTCCTGGGTTTCGCTTCCACCCCACCGACGAAGAACTCGTCGTTCACTACCTCAAGAGAAAAGCTGCTTCTGCACCCCTTCCCGTCGCCATCATCGCCGACGTTGATCTCTACAAGTTCGACCCTTGGGAGCTCCCAAGTATGCCACTTCTTCACACCCCACGTTATCTTTTCATCCTCTTATTCAAACCCATGTTTTGAATTGTCGTAATCACCACACCACAGTTCTTTGTGTTTTTTAGATCGTGAAAAATTGCTAACAAATGCCAACTGTGATCACTTTATAATCGTCTATCATCTTTAAAACCTTGTGCATTGGTTTTAGGTTGTTTAGGGTGTTTTTGAATGGTGATTTTTTTTCTTTAAACAAAATTGATTTGGATTAAACTTGTTTTAAAATGAAACTATATATTTAACGTTTTTACAACAAAAGTAAAGTAACATTAGAATTTAGTTTGGATTTATTTTGTCTACATAAGTTAACTAAGATTGATTTTAGCTTGTAATCAATTCTTAATTTTTGAATCAATTTACCAAGTGAAATCAATCCTGTTTCTGAACAAATAAATATGTGCTTGTGAATTTGTTTTGAGTTGCAATGTTTTTTTTTCCATTTCTTGTTTTGGTTTTGTAGGTAAAGCAACGTTTGGTGAACAAGAGTGGTACTTTTTCAGCCCAAGGGATCGGAAATACCCAAATGGGGTTAGGCCGAACAGAGCTGCTACTTCTGGTTATTGGAAGGCCACTGGAACTGACAAGCCTATACTAACATCTGATGGGCACCAGAAAGTTGGGGTTAAGAAAGCACTGGTTTTCTACGGTGGAAAGCCTCCAAAAGGGGTTAAAACCAATTGGATCATGCATGAGTATAGGCTTGTTCATGATTCTTTCAATTCAACCTCAAAACCTCCTCCTCTTGTTCCTCCAAACAAGAAAAATTCCCTCAGGGTACACATGCATGTGTATATAACAATGAAGTTTTTGTCCCTTTTTCAAATGAACATTATTGTTTATGTTTTTCTTTTTTACGTTGTTGTAGCTGGATGATTGGGTTTTGTGCCGAATATACAAGAAAAGCAACAGCAGCACCTTAACAAGACCACCCTTGATGGAGCATGAAGAGGAGCTTTCAATGGAGAACATGCTTCCAACCATGTCAACTTTGTCAATGGCTACTAATACTACGCAAAATTCTAAACCTTCGAGGGGTACCAGTTATGGACCACTAGGACTTGAAAATGATGACAACTTCTTCGATGGGATCTTAGCCGTTGATAATAATAGCATGCAAAGCGGTTCTGATTCTCACCTTTTCTCTCCAAACTCAAAGGGTAGCAACTTCCCTGTGAAACGTGCACTCACATCACAACAACTTTGGAACGAGACAGGGTCTCCAGGGTCATCTTCTTCCTGCAAGCGATTCCATGGTGATCTTAACAGTGGAAGCAGCAACGCTGAGGAGAACGATTCCTTTGTTTCCTTGCTCAGCCAGTTTCCTCAGAACGCAACTTTCCAACCAAACGCGATTCATGGCTCCGGTGGGGATGGTGCGCAGAGACAACAACAGTTTCAACTTCCTGGGATAAATTGGAACTGATCCATAGTTAATAGTGTGGTTTAGCTTAGATTACACACACCTGATGAAACTGTAACTAGCATTATGTTAGACCTTTATGCAGGTCTTGGTATTTTTCTCTTTATTTTTCACTTGTAATCATCATAACATGCACAAAATAGGAGAAAGAGATCCAGACTTTAGGCATATGTCATATATTATATGTGGATCAAACTTGAAGCTTACAAATTGTACGTGATTAAATTTGATACAACCTCGTCATCAAAATCTTATTACGTGGAAAGAAAAATTAAGAAGAAGGACTAACGAAGAAATAAAAGCTAGAGCTAGTACAAATACATTAATTATATTGCCTTATTTTGAATAAGAGAAACTGGGTGATCCTCAAACTATTTTTTTTATATCCTTTTTAATATTTTTAAATCTTAACTGTCTATATTAATAGGAATTAAAAAAATATTTTAAATTATAAAATTTAAAAGAAATTATTTTCAATTATAAAAACCAAACAAGCAATGCTTTTTTTCTACCTACAGAAATAAATTGATAAACAAAATAAATAAAAAAATTACAGAATTTTTCTTTTTCTTTTTTCTTTCTCCTCCTGTATATCTCAGTAGTAGGTTATATAAGGAAATGAAAATCATTTTCGCTTAAAGTTTCTTGGTACTACTAATACTTAAATAACATGTACACGAATTAGTCCCAATCAAACCAATTAACTTGAACCAAATTATTTACATATTTTACGATTACTATTTGGTTTATTTATGTTCGTTAAAATGAAAAATATTTACCTCTTTTAATAATAAAAAAATATGCATGAATTTTTGGATAAAATTACGTCGTTCTTAGTGAAATTGGTTTGGTTTATATTTTAAACGGACATGTGATGATCCTAAAATAGTGTATGCCATAAAGAATATTTTGGCGAAAAGTAGATAATTTTGTTTTTACACTAATATATTAAGAGATAGTATTTATAATACTTTTGGTGTATAAATTTTTGTTGCAATTTTATTTTTATCCATACATTTTTACAATAATAAAAAAATTAGTTAATATAAATATAAAATAATTATTATTTTATAAAATTTATCTAAAAATAAATTTTTATCTTTCTACTTTTTTCTTTTCATTATTCTTTGAAAATAATACTACATAAAAATAAAAATGTTATCATAATAAATAATTTTTGTATTCTCTTCATTCCACTTTTCTCTAAGTATGTAACAATAAAAATAATTATTATAACTTAAAATAAAAAGAAAATGTGTATAAAAAATAGTTAAAAAATATTTTAGTAGTTCTTATAAATTATGAAATAATTATTCTTTTTAACTGCTTTTTATTTTTATTATAATAATTGTTATTTTAATTATATAACAAGAAACATATATATATATATATATATATATATATATATATATTATTTTTATAATTGTTATAATGTATACAATTTTTCTTATAATTTTACCTTCATGTGTAAAGGTAGTAAGTAGTTTTTAACTATTTGTTTAACATTTTATCATAATATTTTTTTCTAATATTCACGTGATTTCCTTTTTTAAAAAAGAAAAAAAAACTTTGTTCAACAAAAACGGAGAAGCGGGCCTAGCCCATTGGGTTAGCTGATGACTTTATAAGGGCCTTGTACAATGTGTGAGGGTTAAGTATAGATAAAGGGCCCAGAAAGATATCCAACTTCAACAATCTAAAACAAATGGTAAGATTGGAAATTAATTAATAAAATAGAGGTATTAAAAAATAATGGAGTAGAAAGAAAATATAAGAAAAGTGACACATACTACTTCTTAACTTTACTTATCATATTCAAATACTTAAATCTTTTTTAAAAAAAGTAACACAAACTATTTTAAACTATTCATTTAATTAAAAATTAAAAAGTATAACAATTAGTAGTTAAGTAATTAATATATGTTAAAATATATTTTTAAATAATATAATTTCAGAAAAATCATATGCATATAAAAAAATCATTTAATCTCTATTTTGGTATATCTATTTATTTATAATAAAATTCTAATCAAAGAAAAAAATAACACATTTATAATCTTTATTGTTTATTATCTTTTTCTTTATTATTTTTTTCTCTGATTTATCATTTTAATATTTTTTCATTATTATTTTTTCTCAACATACATAGAATAATATAAATAGATAAGTTAATAATATAATTAATATTACTCTACAATAATGAATAAATAAATAAATAATAAATTTTAGAAGAAGAATACATAGAAACTAATAAACAGCACGTCTATGCCATTGAAAGAACGAAAAGGCATACATTGGAAATTGGTTTTTATTTTTATTTTTATTCATTTTTAGTTTGATCCAAATTTATTTCAAAAAGTTATGCAATGTATTTTATATCATCATATCAGATATCCTGTAACTTTCAAATTGACCATCTTCTCGTTACTCTGTGTGTGTGTATATATATATATATATATATATATATATATATATATATATATATATATATATATATATATATATATATCATATATATATCTACTTTATAGGCTTTCACGTCAAAATATAAAGTATTTCAAAAATTTTAAAATATATTTTATTTTTAAAAATAAAATATATTCAAATTGTGTCAAAAAGTTTAGGCAATACAACTTTTAAAAACAATTTAAAGTAAATGTTATCAATTTTACTGTTTTTACTATTAGTTAAAAACTAGTTTAAGAAATATATTTTAAAAGCTTTAAATGAATATTTAAGGATGAGAAAATAAATTTAACATACCTAGTTGAAAAATCGTAAAATAATATAATTATGGATTTTTTTTCGCGTTCAACATTGTTTTAACATGAAATTACATATATAACATATTACGTATAATACATAATATTTACAGAACTAGCACAGTTTTTCAAAAAGTCAAACATTTTAAATAAAAAATAGTAATTATTAGAAATTTTATGTTTTAAATCCATTAATATATATATATATATATATATATATATATAAAAAAATTATTTATATAATTATATTATTAATATATTTTTATAAATATATTTAATATATAATATTTAAATATTTATTTATATAATTATATCAAATTAATATAAATATTATTTTTACCTATCATAAAAATATATTTATATAATTATATGTTTAATATACTTTTATAAATATAGTAAATATAAATATATTTAATATATATATATATATATAATATTTAAATTTTATTTAATATAAATTAGTTGAAAGAAAAAAATTGATAAAAATAATAATTTATAGGAATAATAAATCAAAAATAAATTTATATAAGATATTGTATGAATAAAATTTATTTAATAATATTTTTGATGTAAAAAAATATATTTTTTAATAATATATTTATATATATATTAAAAAATTTATTTATATAATTATATCAAATCAATATAAATATTTTTTTACATATCATAAAAATATATTTATATAATTAGATTATTAATATATTTTTATAAATATAATAAATATAAATATATTTAATATATATATATATATATATTTATATATTTAAATATTTATTTATCTTTTTATAAATATAATAAACACATGTATATTTATATATTTAATAAATATATATTTATATCTTTCTATATACATAATAACATAAATAAATTATATATATATATATATTAATTAAGTATAAATAATATTTCTTTTATAAAAATATATAAATATTTTTATTATATTTTAATATGTTTGGTATAAATATTTTGTTAAAATTTTGTAGTAGTAGTTTGTTCTTAGCTCAGTCATTGCGTATGCTGCATATTGAAATAATAAAAGTTAACATAAAATAAACAAGATGACATTGTAAAACAATTTAGATAGAATAAAAGTTATTATCCATATTGACAATATCTTTTTTTAGAGCTGCATCTTTTAATCTTCTCGTAAATTTTTGTGCAATATGTCGAATGTTGTACATATGCATACAATTACCATCAGTCCATCCACTCTCAGGTCTTGTGTAGGCTGCATGAATTGAGTTGTGACGATCCGAAATTAAGCACAAGTTATCCTGAGGTGTGACATACCTCTTTAGGTTTTTTAAGAAAAACAACAAAGCATCTGCAGTTTCACCTTTAAAAATTGCAAAAGCAATGAGAAATATATTGTGCCTTCCATCTTGTGCAACAGCCAGTAGTAGGGTGCCCCTATATTTGTCATATAGAAATGTCCTATCTACTTGGACTAGTGATTTACAATACCGAAAGTCATCAATGCATGACTTAAAAGTACAGAATAGTCTTTTAAAGTATATCTTGTCATGTGAATGGTAAGTAAATTTAGATATAAAAAATATATATATATATATATATATATATTAAATATCTTATTATATATATATATATATATATATATATATTATATAAATCTATATTTATTAAATTTATTTAATATTAAATCTATAATATTGTAATTTATTTGTATTTTTCTAATTTTTTACATCAAAATTATTATTAAATAAATTTATTCATACAATATCTTATATAAATTTATTTTTGATTTATTATTCCTATAAATTATTATTTTTATCAATTTTTTTCTTCAACTAATTTATATTAAATAAAATTTAAATATTATATATATATATATATATTAAATATATTTATATTTACTATATTTATAAAAGTATATTAAACATATAATTATATAAATATATTTTTATGATAGGTAAAAAGAATATTTATATTAATTTGATATAATTATATAAATAAATATTTAAATATTATATATATATATATATTAAATATATTTATATTTATTATATTTATAAAAATATATTAATAATATAATTATATAAATAAATTTTTTTAATATATATATATATATGTTTTAATAGATTTAAAACATAAAATTTCTAATAATTACTATTTTTTATTTGAAATGTTTGACTTTTTGAAAAACTGTTATACATAATATGCTATATATATATATGTAATTTTCATGTTAAAATAATGTTGGACGCCAAAAAATATCCTAAT